CAAGGCAGTCTGTCTAAGCAAGAGCCATTGTAGGAAGACAGGATGGCTTGAGGGTTTCTTGGAGATAAGGGGAAGTTAGAGAGGTTTGTATGTCATTCGTGTTTGCTTTTTGAGGTAGGGTTTCATATAGCCCAGGCTAGCCTCAAACTTGATATGTAGCCGTGGTTACCCTTGTTCTTCTGATCTTTCTGTCTCCACCTCCCAAGTTCTGGAACCACTGGCGTGTGCCACCACACCCAATTTATGTGGTACTGGGGGTGGCATTCAGTGTGCTAGGCAGGCAGGCTACGGACTGAGTCTGACCCCTAAATGTCGTCTGTTCTTTCTTTCATTTGGGACCAGGGTTCATATTCTTATGGGTCTGGGCAATTCAAGAGCCACTGAGTCAGATATTGGCTGGTGTGGGAGTGAGTACTGTGTTTCTGAGGCAGGGTGGCGGATGGAGTGGAGAGTGGAGGTACTGTGTCAGGGACCGACGGGCTGGGCTTCATGGAAAGCTGCAGGAGCTGGCTCCAGCTTGGGAAATGTAAGCCTGACCAGTTGGAAGGCTCGCCCGTGCTTTCCATCTGCTGAAGAAGGGTCACAGACACACCACCTGGCTTCCGGGGGGGTTGGAGGAGAAAGCATCTGGGAGACACGCTAGCTCCTCCGGGAGATGCTTGGCTGGACTCAGTCATGATTTATTCAACAGCCTTAGACACCTGTACCCCAGGGCTGGCGCTGGCCTTGGCCGCTAGCCAGAACTCAGTTCTGGATGCACATGCCTGTCTGCGTATCAGACCTGGGGATGTGGGATGTGGGGTAAGGGGCATCCAGAGAGAGCACCTTACCCTGCCTGTAGCTGCTTGGGTGAAGGAGGGAAGCGGGAGTCTGGCTTGAGCCCCAGGCACACCAGCATGGCCCAGTATGCACTGCTTGCTGTAGAGGGGATGGTAGCACTCCAGTGGCTTCAGATCCAGCACCTGGACATCCCCAGGAAATCCTCTCTGCAAGCCTGCTCGTGGTCTCAGGACACACTCATGCCACCAGGCTCTCGACACACCCATTCACGCCGAATCTGCACGCTTGCACCTTCAGGATGTGCTGGGGTTGGGAGACTACTGTATTCCATCAGTCTAAACGAGGATCAGAGCCACCGAGTAATAGGTCTGCAAAACACAGCTGGCATCTGAGGACACGTGCCACTCTTCAACTGCTCACAGCCATATTTTCAGCATTGCCACTCTGATCCTGCAATGTGGGAACGTGGCTATTAGGTGACCCAGAGGAGGGTTTCCAGCCCACTCCACACTCCTGTACCGGGTAGGAGAGCACAGGCTTCTCTGGTTGGCTGAGCTGCCGGTCCGACCGCACACCCGGGCTGCCCTGGGCAGCTCTGAACATGCTAGTTTGATGACTGGTTACCAGATTTTTTGCATTTGCCTAACAGTTGACTAGGGAGCTAGGAATTTGGCATTTGTCACAATGGAACCTGATGCTCTTTCCTTATCACATCTGGCTCCTTTGCTTGTGTGACAACTCCCTCCCAGCTCAACTGTTCTGGTTTTCCTAATGATAACAACCGTTGTGCACTCTCAAGGACACACACACACACACACACACACACGTACATATGTATAAAGGCCAGAGGTAATCATCATGTGTCTTCCTAAATTGCTCTCCATCTTATTTGTTGATGTAGTCTCTCACTTGAAGCTGGAGCTCACTGATTGGCTAGCAGGTCCGGGGATCTGCTTGTCTCTACCTCTCCAGTCCTGGGGTTAAAAGTGTGCATCATCGCCCGGTTTCTCAACATGGTTTCAATGAATCAAAACTCAGGTCCTTATGCCTGGAAGACAAACGCTTTACCGATAGAGCCGCGTCCATACCTTCACCTTTTTTGGGGGAAGCGGGGCAGGTCCTGAAGTAGCTACTTGTGGAGCTCGATCTCAACACATAGTGACAACAAACTAATGAGAGCAATGTTATTTTCATTTAGCAGGCGAGGAAACAGCTCAGAGAGGCTCTGGGCATGTGTGTGTATACTTAGAGTTGTATCAGCAGGAAGCGATGGTGCCAGGGCCCACTGCCAGGTGCTCTGTCCCCGTGCCTGGGAGAGCAGCCCTCAGCTCTGCAGCCCCGCGTCTCTCTGGTTCCCGTTCCACGGTTGGTCAGGGCCCGGCCTTTCTGTGGCTCCCGTTCCACCGTTGGTCAGGGCCCCGCGTCTCTGTGGCTCCCGTTCCTCGGTCAGGGCCCCGCGTCTCTGTGGCTCCCTATACTAAGGGAGTCTAGTTTACTCTTATGCACGTTACCCATTTGTCAGCTGATTCTGTGGGTTTCCCCATCATGGTCTTGACTCCTTTGTTTATATTATCGCTCCTCCCTCACTTTGATTGTACTCCAGGAGATTGGTCCACTGGTTAGTTGTGGATTTCTGCATCTGCTTCCATCTGTTTCTGGAAGAGGGTTCAAGCTTCTCTGGGGTTATAGATTGTAGGCTGGGTATCTTTTGCTTTATGTCTGGTATCCATTTATGAGTGAGTACATACTATATTTGTCTTCCTGGTTTTGGGTTATCCCATTTAGGATTTTTTTTTCTACTTTGCCTGCAAATTTTAGGATGTCATTGTTTTTTAAAGCTGAGTAATACTCCATTGTGTACTGTTTTCTTTATCTATTCTCCAGTTGAGGGGCATCTAGGTTGTTTCCAAGATCTGGCTATTACAAACAATGTTGCTATGAACATAGTTGAGCAAATGTCCTTGTGGTATGAGTGTGTCTCCTTCGGGTATATGCCCAACAGTGGTATTACAGGGTTTTGAGGTAGGTTGATCCCTATTTTTCTGAGAAATCGCCATACTGATTTCCACAGTGGCTGTACAAGTTTGCACTCCTACCAGCAATGGGGGAGTGTTCCCCTTTCTCCGCATCCTCTCCAGCACAAGCTGTCGTTGGTGTTTTTGATCTTAACCTTTCTGATTGGTGTAAAATGGAATCACAGAGTGGTTTTTATTTGCATTTCCCTAATGACTAAGGTTGTTGAGCATTTCCTTAAGTGTCTTTCTGCCATTTGGGATTGTTCTGTTGAGAATTCTCTGCTTAGATCTGTACCCATTTTTTAATTGGATTATTTGGTAGTTCGATTTCTTGTTTCTTGAGTTCTTTGTATATTTTAGAGATCATCCCTCTGTCAGATGTGTTGGTGAAGATCTTCTCCCATTCTGTGGGGAACCGTTTTGTCTTGTTGACCATGTTCTTTGCTTTACAGAAGTTTCTCAGTTTCAGGAGGTCCCATTTATTAATTGTTGTTCTCAGTGTATGTGTTACTCGTGTCCATTATCATTCTTAATTATGAAATAACAGCAGTTCCCACGCAGGAGGAAGGTGGCATTGCCAGCATCCACATGACCCCTGGGAGGCATGGGCCTCATCTGGTCTTTCTGTGAGAGATGCCCCCATTCCACGTTTGCCTTCAAGGCAGATGTTTGAACACTTGTTTTGTGTTTATGATACAGGGGGAAATTAAAGGCTCCCAGTGGAAAGGAGGAAGAGCCAGAGGAGCCAGGAGCGCCCCCGGTCCCTGTGGGGCTCACAGGGGAAGATCAGGCCCTGGACTAGTTTCAAGATAAAGAGGAGCAGATGGCATCCTGGGGCTGATGCAGGGTTCCATGACAGTGGGGGTGAGGGAGGTCCCTTCTGTGAGATCTGTGAGAGCACAGGGCCTGGCATGAGCGTGCAGACTCAAGCTCCACGAGCCTCTGCCCCTAGAGCGCTATTGTATACACAGGGAAACCAAAGTCTACAGAGCTTCAGAGACTTACCCAGTTCCAACTGTTCACACACATAGGCCTGGCCTGGAGTGGCTTGGAGTGCATCCTGCTGGGGCTCTCTGCACCTGACCCAGCTCTAGAAACATCCTCGATGAGCCAGCTGCTGGAAAGACACAGCAGTCTAAATACTCCCTCCCAGCTGCAGTTACTGGACTTGGTGACTTGCTGAGTCCAACACATTGTTGTTCTAGAACTTTCCCCAGGTTCCTGGAACCTGCATTGGATGAGGCCTCAACCAGATCTTAGGCTCATGACCATAATGGATGATGAGTTTAAAGCTTGCCTGTGATGCATAGGGAGTACCAGGCAGGCTCAGAAATCTTAGGGAGACTATAAAAAGAAATAAGGAAAGACTGAGTTCTAGTCTCATCTCTACCCTGTTTGTAGTGTGACCATAGGTAAGCGGGGTCTTGCCAGGCCTTAGTTTTCTCACCTATGAGAAGATCTGTTTTGTGACTTTGCAAATTCCCTGTTCTCCTGCCCCAGTCTCCTGAGCACTGGTGTCTCAGGCATACAACCCCACACCCAGCAGAAGCCTTGTCTCTGCTCCTGGGGAATGGCAGGCCCTCCACCTCCGGTCGTTACTCTCTGACCTACTCCAGTGCTGTTTGGATATCTGCAGCTGTTAATTCAATGACTCTTTATGGAAAGATAAGACATCTCCTACAGGACAAAGTGGCCCCATTCCTTGTTAAGGAGGCAAGTCGAGGCTGGTCCCACGGCCAGGTTGAGGCATGTGAGCTACTGATTTCCACAGATCCATCCACCTCTCATCCATCTGCCTTTCATTACCTGTTCAACTGTCTTCTCATCCTCTCACCAAGTTCATTCCCCGGGTTGCCCACCCACCAAGCTGGAGGCTCGGGACTGGGGAGGAGCTAGGAGCGGGGTTCTGGGCCTTGAGCTCCTCTGAGATTGCACAGGCCTCACACATTCTTCCCTCACCTCTGATGCTGTGAGCAACAGATTAATGGACTGGTCTGGTCACCAGTCCATCTCATAACTGTTAGCTGTAGTGCTGGGAGAGCACTACAAACCAACATGTGACAGCTTTTAGGACCCAACACAGAGGCACTCAGCTCCATCACGTCCCACGGCTGAAACTGGGCTGTGGTTGGGTGGACTTGTCCCTGTTACAGACACTGTGGTCCCAGCAGAAGTCCGCCAGACAGTACTAGCCCAGCAGATGGGTATTGGTCAGCCTTACTTTAATGAAATACCCGAGGCCGCGAACTTATGAAAGGGGAAGGTTTATATAGGTCAGAGTTTCGGAGAGTATAGTCTGAGACTGGTGGCTTTGCGGCTTGGATTCTCCAGCACAGGCAGGGTACGGTGACAAGGATGCCCGTGAGAGCATGGCACCTGCAATGCCAGCCATGAAACACAGAACCAGTTCCAGCCATGAATACCGTCCCCTCGGGGCCGCACTGGCAGTAATCTAAGGGTACCGGCAATGCCACTCCTCTCGAAGCAGTGCCACGCCCTGGTAGCGCTTCCCTAGGAGCCAAGCTGCCAACACACAGACCTCTTGGGGATTTCAACGTCCAACCCATAGCACAAGCCATCCCCTCTTGAGTTGGTAGCTTCAAACATCAACGTTTTCTGGGTTTCCTCCATTTCGTGATGGACAAAGTGAGCTACTGCTCCACGCGGTCATGGCTCAGCATGCTGCTGGTGGGAAGGTTCTGGAACATTCCAGAAGGTCTTCTCCCTGAGTCGTTTCTCTCGACGTGGTCTTTCCTTCCAGCAGGACAGGCTCTGCTTGCCTTCGCCGTGGTGACTGTATTCCAGGGTCCCTGGTTCTCTCAGTCTTGGCTTTGTTTCTCCTGTGTCTACTGGTCAGCGTAAGTCCAGCGGCCTCCAGGGCTCCAGGCAGAGGAGCCACGGGTGGAGGGATGGGATTCAGGGACTGAGATGTGAATTGCCCTACGGCCAGGTGGGCTCAGCCCCAGAGCAGCATGCTTAGTCAGTGTGGCCGGCTCTGCTCCTCCATGGGGGGCTCTGCAGGACCCCACTGCCTCCACCCGGCCTCTCGAGCACAGCTTTCCAGTTCTCCATGCAGCCCCACAGCAGGGGACCACTAAAAGGGAAGAAATCACAGCAAGGCTGCAGCCATTAGCTCCCCGGAACATTGGGTTCTATTTTTGGTGGTTATGAGGTCGCTGGCCTCGATCCCCACTCTGCAACCGGCACCTGCGGAAGAGAAATCTCTGTATGCTGTACACCACAGGGAGCCTGGTGCCAAGGAGAGGGGAACAGCCTTCCGAAGGGCAGCAAAGCTCTGCCTAGGTTGGGCTGGGGTTCAGCCCCAGGGTCCAGGAAGGGTTATGTGTCTTGAGCATCTACTGAGTATTGAATACTGTGCTGTGGGCACATCTGCCCCTTGCTTTCCTTGGAGCCCTATCTTCTAGTCTCTGCTTCCCAGCCAGCATGAGGAGTTTTCTTTTTCAAACAGGCCACTCTTACTTTCCCAGGCTTTGTGTTTTCTGTCCTCTGTCTCTCATCTTGCGGATCCCAAGGCCTCTCTGGCCTCTCTTAGATCCCAGTCTCTCTCTCTCTCTCTCTCTCTCTCTCTCTCTCTCTCTCTCTCTCTCTCTCTCTCTCTCTCTCTCTCTCTCTCTCTCTCTCTCTCTTTTGCTAGATTGTGGACTCCCAGAGCTGGAATGCATCTCTTGAGTTACTGTTTGGTTGCTAGCCCAGCAGCAGCCTTTGCTGACTGACTGAACGAATGAGTGATTCCCATCCTAGCCCATTGGACAGATGAAATCACAGAGGCTCACAGAGGACTAGCTTACCTAGGACAAGACAGGCCGACAGGCAGAGACTGGATTTGATCCCACACATATTTGGTGGTCTAGTTTGTACCTTTCCTACCATATGTGACTCTCAAGGGCAAAAGCAAAGGCTGGAGATGGTGATGGGGAGCCCAAGGCTCCCTTTTGTCCCATTACTCACAGGCAGTGACACTAGAGGCGGGGCTAGCCTGGGGCTGGCAGCCAAGGTACCCAGTGACTGACAGCTTATGTACGCCTGGTCTGCAGACAAGGGAGCAGGCCAACAACTTGGCTGGCTAGCAGAGTTTGCAGGGCTCGGCTAGTTTTCAGGTCATAAGCACTGTCCGGTTACAGAAGTCTGGCAGAGATTCCACAACAGAAACAGGTCACGAGGCTCCCAAGAGCCACATGGACACCAGCACCCATGACAGAGTGCTTGTTCGGAGTCCCAGAGAGAAGTGGAGACTCAGTTCTACCAGATACTGCTGAGGGACCTCTTGGAGCTCCAGTCTCCTTGTGTGAAAAATGGGGAGTATCTGACTCTCTTCATGAGTGAGTGAGTTAATGCGCACACTGTCTTAGCGTTGAGTTCAGCACAAGGGACACAGTAAGCAAATATCAGGCTAGAAGCTTCATGTTCCTTCTGGCCGTCAAGTCACACTTGCCTCAGCTCCAATCTGCTGGTTTCCCTGGGCTTTTGGGAGGAAGGAGACACACAGAATGTCCTTCTCAAAGGGCAAGGATTAAGCAAGTTATGTTGTCTTTGTGTCTCCATCTGGACTATTCCAGGTCAAAGTCTGGGGGCCTGGAGAATGCCAGAAGAGGAACAGAAATGCCAAGGGCTCGGGATACAATGGGGACAATGATGGAGATGAGGATGATGATAGAGATGAGGGTGATGGTGATGGAGGTGATGATGATGATGATGGGGGTGATGATGGTGATGGAGGTGATGGAAGTGATGGTGGTGGTGATGATGGTGAAGATGGAGGTGTTGATGAAGGTAATGGTGATAGAGATGACGATAAAGAATAAGATGTGGACGATGGAGGTGATGGTGGAGACGATGGAGGTGGGGAAGGTGGGGACCGTAAAGATGATGATGGAGGAGGACATTAGTGATGGTTACAGAGATGGGGATGGAGGAGAGAATGGAGGTGATGGAGGAGATGGTGATAGAGGATGACCTTGTGGGTGAATGGATGAAAGGAAGGGAGAGTAAGTGGCCTCCTGGAGCATGTCCAGACAGACCTTGGCTGAGAGCAGTGTCATAAAAAGATGCAGGAACTTGTTCAAAGACCTGAACTTTTTCTGGTCCAGGCTTGGTCTCTTACCAGCCAGGTCACTTTAGGAATCGTGGCACATCCCTGAGCGACAGTTCTGCCACTTACAGGAGGTAGCAAACCCTGCCCAGCCAGCTGCAGGGAGCATCCACAGGGGTCCTGCATAGGCCACTTTACAGCAGCTGTTTTCAGAGCCCAGGAAAGCAGACAGTTCAGCACAGCCTGTCAGTCGCTTGCCCAGGTTTCCTCAGCCTCAGTTTCCCCCTCTACAAGCGAAGCTAGTAATACCCTCCCCGCAGAGAGCTGTGGCCTGACTGGAAAAGGTTCATTAGGGATGAAAAGATGGCTCCACAACTAGAGCGTTTGCTTCATAAGCAGGAGGACCTGAATTTGGATCCCCAGCGTCTGCACAGAAATCCAGGCATGGTGGTGTGAGCCTGAAACCCCCTCACTGGGAGGTGGAGAAGTTGGATCCCGGGGCTTGCTGGCCAGCATGGCTAGGCATCTGGTGAGCTTTCGGTTCAATGGGAGACCCAAAGATCTAAGTTTTCCATGGTGGTGGTGAATTTTAGACAGGGTTTCACATAGTCCAAGCAGTTCAAGAGCTGGTTGAGGTCTGGATAACCTGACAGGCTGTGTGCCAGTGCCCTGGCTTGGCAGGTGCTGGGAAACCAAACCCAGGCCTTTTGTTGGGCTAGGCTATACTCCACCTATAGAGTTACAGCGGAAATTGAAGGTAGAATTATTTGACTTAGACACCTGGCATTTACAAATGCATGTAACCATGCACACTCAAGTACACATATGCACATACAGCACGCATGCGCGCGCGCGCGCACGCACACACACACACACACACACACACACACACTCATGTAGTTACATGAATCAATCCAGTGTCTACAGGGAGGAGAGGCTCCATGCGCAGACCTCGTGGTCTCTAGGCCACTCCAGTTACTCATCTTGGCTCTTCCTGCTATAATGATCAAACCTCCCCGTCTTGTTGCATGCTGAAGAGAATTGCCCTGTACGGTGGGGCAGGTTGCTTACTGCTCCAGGATACTCAGCTGAAGAAACTGGCTTGTGTGCCCCTCAAAGTTTCGAGCCCCAATATAGGGCTGCCTCTGTTCAAGATGGGGCCTTTCTCTGCCTCGTACAGAAGTTACACAAGGGCTGGAAGACACCTATGTTGTGTATAGCGTGATTCATTCATGAAGACCAAGATGGGGCCTCGGCGCCTGTGGCCCAACATGCCTGCTGTTTGGAGGAGGAAGCTCACAGCTGTTCACTTACTTACGCTTACAAATAACACGTACTGTCTGCCCTCAAATGAGGTGTGTGACAGATCACCATCTGTGTGGATAGTGACGCCAGACACCAGGCGTTCTGACAGTAAGCTTAGGGAGGATACTGCACTGTCCCCATGTGTTTCAGGGACAGGTAAACCGGAGTTCAAATAGCAAAGGTGTGCCTCAAAGCAAGGGGTGCCATAGCCACAACTTCTCAGCACACAGGGAAGAAACACTGGCTCTTAGCAGCAGCTCTGCATGCAAAGACCAGGAGCAGAGATCCCGGAACCACAAACCAGCCGCACAAGCAACAAGCAGCGTACACTCTGGGAAATGGAGATAGGAGAGGTTAAGTAGCTGCCTCCAGGGGTACACAGCAATGTTGTCATGCTGGGCTCCTGATGAGGTACCACGAGACCTGTGGGGGCTGAGGAGTTTCCTACGTAGTCAGTTGGAATGCAGGGGAAGGCAGGCTCACAGGTTCCCTGGTGCAGGACCCTCTTGTACGCTTGTCCTCCACCCTGGGAATGTGTGAGGGACCTACAGTCAGGCCACTGACCAGCTGCTTCTGCCCTGACAGCATCTGTCCCAGTGCTCTGGTGACCAGTTTGTCTTTGTTTGCCCAAGTTTAAAACTGACCCATTGCCTAGCCAGGGCTGTCCAGAAGGAACACTGTGCATTCAACAGGAAGGAGCTCTGTGCTGGAAGCCAGCCCTGCCTCCTGAGGTTAGCTTTCATCAGCATGCGATCAACCAGGTCTTTGCAGAACAGGAAGGCTGGGCCAGGTGACTTCCAGGGCACTGACCAGAGCTTGCCAGCCTGGGCCATATCCAAGATCCCAGAAGGGCAGGAACGTCTCACTGGGCAGAGAGGTGGGGCTGGATGCTTCTCTCCAGCAAGCCCAGCTGGCCCAGGGCCTGTCCTTTGAGAGAGGTGACTCCAGCAAGCCTGGTTGTGCTGGCTGTATGCTGGGATCACTGGGGAGGATGCCCAGCACTGGAGCATTTAAATTAGCTGTGGAACTGGCACTCGGCTCTGCTTCATTTTTAAGTTCCCAGAGATAGGAACCAGTGTTCTAGAAAAACAGCCAGGGCCGGTGTGTGTGGGTGCACATTTGGTCAATGACTTACTTCTCTTGGGGACATTTATCTTGAGTCCCAGCTCAGCCTTCTTTTGGCTACCAGGTTAGAACAGCTCCTGTTGGGAGGACACAGTGGAAATGGCTCTCTGTGCTCTCTTCCCTTTGTCTTCAAGAACTTGTGTGTTCAGTTGAGCACAATTCAATAAGAATTAAAAAAAAACCCATGATGATACCAGGCATGGTGGCGCACGCCTTTACTTCCAGCACTTGGGAGACAGAGGCAGGAGGATCTCCGTGAATTTGAGGCCAGTCTGGTCTACAGAGCTAGTTCTAGGACAACTAGGGCTATACAGAGAATCCTATCTTGAAAACAAAAACAAACAGATAACCAACCCATCCAGCCAACCAACCAACCAACCAAGATGGCAAGATCTGCCTTTAGAGTTGAATTAGGCTTCATCCTCACTCCAAGGCACTCATATGCACATGGTGTGTGTGTGTGTGTGTGTGTGTGTGTGTGTGTGTGTGTGTGTTTATGTCAGTAGGGGACGGGGCATGTGTCCAAAATGTGGAGTAAGATGAGACAAGGTCTATAAGGAAGTCATCTTGGTGCAGTCCACTCTAGTTTATTTAACCCAATCCCATGAGGTCACTACTATTCTAACACCCATTCCATAGAAAAAGAAGTGGTGCACTCCTTTAGTCCCAGCACTCATGAGATCTCTGTGAGTTCTAGGCCAGCAAGGACTTCATAGAGAGACTTTGTCTCCAAAAAGCCAAAGGCTCATTCCCCTGAAGAAAAGAATTGGGCATTGATGGGGTGAGGTTAAGAGGACCAGTAGACTCACACCATCAGAAATACTAGGAGAAAGCTGCATGGGAGACAGTTCAGGAGTCTGCTTTGAAGGATGGGTAGAGTTCAACCCTGAGAAAGTGTTGCTAGAGATGGTGGGGACCCGTGTACACAAAGTTTGGAGTAGTGATGACCTGCTTTCTTAAGAACCTGGAAGTGATGTGATTTGCCCTGTGGGTCAGGCTGAGAGACTTTGATTTTATATCCCAGGTAATGGGGAACTCTTGAAAATCCTTGAGCAAGGCTGGCATTTAAAGAAAAGGCTTTAGCACTGCCCACAGAATCCACTAAGCAGGGCTCACAGGGGCTCACCCAGACTGATTGCAGAGGCGATCACGGAACTTGCAAGGCTCTATTTTAGGTCCTTTGCACACATGCTGTGGCTGTTTAGCTTGGGACCCTTTTCCGGCTACCGGGTTGCCTTGTCCAGCCTTGATCTGAGGGTTCGTGCCTGGTCTTATTGCATCTTGTTAAATGCATGTTTCGATGATATCCCTGGGAGGCCTGCTCTCTTTTCTGAAGGGAAACAGGGGAGCAGGGGATCTGGGGGAGATGGGAGGTCTGTGTGGGGAACATGGAGGAGTGGAGGGAGGAGTGTGTGTGTGGCTGTGGCCAGAATGTATCCAAGGAGAGAAGACTAAATCAATTAACGAAATGTTATGTGTTCAAAAAGAAAAAGGGAGAAAAGGTTTTAGGGTTATGGTTTACGGGAGAGAGGGAGCCACAGGGAGCGCAATGGGAGGGAGGAAGTCCCAGCAAGTGGTCCACCTGGAGACACCTGTGTGAGGGGAGGCTAAGAAACTGGTCATATGCGGTGGGGTTCCATGGCTACAGGAAGTGTCTGGGCACCTGTCTGTTGGCTGAACTATATGTATATTTTTTCAATCCAGGCTGAAACTGGGCCAGTCGGGTCCACCAGGGCTAGCCAGCACATTTGGATCCCGTCAATGGGGTATGGCCCACCCTTGGAGGACTTGGCAGAAAACCCAAGTGTTAGGTCCTGGCCCGGTGACCTGAGTCCTCCTGGCTCCAGCCTTCCTGCTGAAGCATGTCACTCTGCCTGCCTCCTGCTGCCAAGCTGATAGGCTCTGTGCAGCAAGCCCACTGCAAACCCTCCGGGCTGAAGACGGTTCCTAGGAGTCAAGTCTGGTTTGGGAAAGGGTACAGGGCTAGGATCTTGTCACTTGCCTGCTACTGGTGACCTTGGGCATGTCCCTTAGCCACTCTGAAGCCTAGACTGGGGCCTTAAATACAGCCCAAATGGGGCTGACCATCCACCGCTTCCAGCTCCGCCTTCCAAACCTTTCCCACGTTCCCTCACACAGTACCCTTGGGGAAGAGCAAGATGGCTTAAGGTTGGATGGGACAAGCCCATTGCCTATGTTTTATCCGAGGCCAGGTTAATGGCTTTATCACTCTATAGACCTGGCAGTATTGATGCCCATTTTAAAAACGACACACACACACACACACACACACACACACACACACACACACACACACACACACACACGGTCCATAGACTTCCACACCCGGTCCAGGATGAAACATTTGGATGTTGAGAGATCTCTCACCCAGTCCTTCACTCTGGAGGAGGCTGCGCCCCAATGGGGCCACCCCCAGACCCAAGCCCTGGAATTGAAGGGTTCATAGTGCCCGCCCTTTCCTGGTCCACTCGGAGAAATCAGCAGAAGAAAGTCTTTGCTTTGACCCAATGAACGTCCACCTCTCCCAGGCCTCACCTACCTCCCTGCACCGAGGCAGGCTCCAGCTGGAGTTCAGAACCCTTGCTTTGTTTTCGGCTTGTTTTATATGAACCTTCTATTTATGGCCTGGGACACGGGCTTCCCATGTAAGGCAATGATATTAATGAGATTCTGAAAAAATGTGTTTGGGAGTAGCGGGTCTTGGATTAAAGCAAACATTAGGAAGTATGCGGCCTGTGGAAACAAGAATGCCTGGTGTCCAGCCTGGTTCAAAGCTCTCACTAGCATAGCATGCCCTGGCTCTGTCCGGGACAGGCAGGGCCCGTGTCCCATGATACCGAAGGCCAGCGGAGGTCTCCCTGGACAGTGCCCTCTGAGCTGCATCCGTTGGCCAAGGTGATTCAGGGCCCCTCGTGGCTGCACGTGCACCGCCCATGTGCTCTGCAGGCCAAGAGCTCGCAAAGGGAGCGCAGGCCTGGCCTGGGTTCGGGGCGAGCCTGGGTGGGCATCTGAGGGTGTATGGGGTTGGTTCGCTGAGGGCGAGGCTGGGGCCCAGGTCAGGGGCGGGTTCCCACGGCCTGGATTGGCGTGCGGACGAATGCGTGCGCAGTGTCAGCCTCCCAGGCCCGTGCCGTGCGGCCTTCCGGTCACGGTGCGCGTAGCCGAAGCCTCGGGACATCCATCCCGCGCCCCCCCCCGGTCCCAGCCCCACGCGCCCGGGCACGCGTAGCCCCGGATCGCCGGGGCCCAGAGACCGGGGCGGGGCGGGGGCGGGGCCCGGCCGCGGGACCCTCTGCTGATTGGCCGCTGGCGGCGGGGGCGGGGTGCGGGAGGCCAGACGCCCGCGTTGGGCAGGTGGGCTCAGGACGCGTCGCGCAAAGAGGGCTCGAGGCTGGCGCCGGAGACGCCGTCCCGAGCCTGAACTGGGGCCACTAGGGGAGGACTCGGAGACCTCGCCCGGCCGCTGAGAGCCGCGTTCGCCTGCGGGAGAGGGCGAGGGAGGAGCCAGCCCCAAGAAACTTCTCCTCCCTCGGGGAGGGGAGGCGCCGTGTCGAGTGGCGCCGGCTTCGGGAGAACTTGGTGCCGCTGAGCCTTGGGGCGGCGTTCAGGGCGCCCCCCTCCCACACACGCGCCGAGCTGAGCCAGCGGCGCCCGGCGACGAGCGAGCCGCGCTCCTTTCCACAGGGTCGAGCTGCAGGGCGGCAAGGCGCCGGCAAGGCCGCGCGGCCCGGCTCGCAGCCCCTCCGCCCTGCCCACCGCCACCCGGGAGGACGGGAGAAGGAGGCAGCGTAAGCGTCCAGGCGCGTTCGCAGGCTGACGCACCCATCGTCACCTCCAAAGGCCCCCTGAGGCTCCGGGGTCCGGTCCTTCATCCCCGGAGTCGTCCTCCCCTCTCTCCCCACCCCCAGCGCTGAGCCCCAGGCGGGGACACCCCGCCTCGGAAGTCCCCGTACCTCCGCGCACCTGGCTCAGCCGGAGTCCCCGGTGTCGGGGCAGGGCAGGGCCGCCGGCGGCGAGCCGGAGCCAGCCCAGCGCCCTGGCCCCGCCGAGCCCTCGGAGCCCACCCATGGGGCTCCAGCTCCGCGCGCCTCCTCGCCCGGCTGTGCTCAGCCCAGCTCGGAGCACCGCGCGCAGGAGGATCCGTACTCGGTGACCCTGGAGCCCCCTCAGACGCCGGGAGACTCGAGGGCCGGAGCGGCAGGCGGTTCCCCGCACCTCCAGGAGCTTTCAGGCAGCCCTCCAAGCCGTGCTCGGGGCCCGGCCCGCTGTTCCCAGGTAAGGGAGGCACCCCGGTGGAACGGGGGAGCTAGCTAGGTGGAGTGGGGAAGCCGGTTGGGCAGAGGAACGCAAGCTGAGTGACGCTGGCTTTTCATGACGAGGGAAACTTAAACGGAGCCTACTACGTGACCGGGTGCTTTACCCACATAGAGAATTATGCTCACCGGGCACCTAGCCTACATCAGGTGGTTTCTAGCCTCTTACATAGCCCAGGGAAGATGGTTTATTGAGCTCTTGTATGCTCCGTTTGTCTCGGGGGCTTCCGTTTAGATCAAGAACCAGTCCGTTTTTAAAAGGAGGCAACTGAGGCAGTTGCCTTTGCTAGACTTAACCTCTTCCGCAGGACCTCCTCGGAGGAAGAAAGACCAGGGATTCTTTACCTGTCTTGAGGCCCTTGAGCTTCGGAGCAAGACTCCCTGCCATAAGGGCCTCCTGTACTCAGCTGGCCAGTGTGTGGGATCGCTGACAGGCCTCAGTCTCCTGCCCACTACTCTGGAGAGAATGAGGAAGGGACCTGGAAGGGTCTGGAGCCCCGGCCTGCTTTGGATCCTCTAATTCAGGTTTCCCCTAAGCCTCAGAGGAATAAGATGGGGTCCCCACAAGTTATCCACTGGGCTGGGAGCAGCCAGGTGCCACAGCTGTTCTGAGAGCCCCAAAGGAAAGAGTCCTGTGTTGATGGGAAGGCTGCTGGCTACCTGACCGCGCTGGGTTTGTTCTACCTGATGTCTAACAGAGGCATGAGCTGAGTGAGCAGGCTAGTTCACTCAGAGTTGCTGGGCTGGCACACAGCGGAACTGGTGAGCCAGGAGCAGATCTCCCTGCTCTCTCTCTGCCTTGGTGAGCTCCCCAGGATGGGTAGGGTGGCGCTGTGTAGGGCCTGAGACACCCCAGAGTGTGGGTCCTAAGAGGTGGCGGTTGTGCAGCCGGGTAGTATGGGGTGGTGTGGCTAACCTCGCTCTGGGGGCCGCACAGTGGACTGGTGTGGTGAGCCTGGCTCTGAGGTGCTCCCAGGGGGCTCATTCAGACTCTTACCCAGTTGTCCTTACCCACCTGCCCTGCCCAGCTTCCACCAAGCCCTGGGCAGACACTGGGGAAGAAAGTGAGTGGCCCACAGTTGCACTGCCTGTCAGCTGGCTGCCAGGGTATGCAGGGAGTCCTGGGCAGAGTGCTATCCCAGCTGCCTGGAGGGAGCACGGAAAAGGGACTGTCACAGGAGTCACAGGGCCATTCCCTGCCCAGTGCCACCTGGGGGCTTCACCAAGCAGAGCTGTTTGGAGGAGACTGCAGTTTAGGCCACTAGAGGGGTAGGGGTGGCTTTTTGTAGAGTTGAGAGGTCAGGTTTTACCGCCAAGGAGCCTGCCTATAATCCCAGACAGGCATCTGCTGTGTGGACTCAACTTTTCTGAGAGCCAGAGTCCCTACCTGTCCCCTGGAAAGTTCCTCGTAGGAATAAAGAGCCCCTGCGTGGCAGGTGCCTGCTGGTGGTGGGTTCTTTCCTTGGGGACAGTCCCACTCCCAGCACCCTGTTTACATTCGGGCTCTCTAATCTTTATTTTGTTTTTGAGACAGGGTTTCTCTGTAGCTTCGGAGCCTATTCTGGAACTCACTCTGCAGGCCAGGCTGGCCTCGAACTCTCAGAGGTCTGCCTGCCTCTGCCCCCCGAGTGCTGGGATTAAAGGCTTGCGCCACCGCCACCTGACTCGGGTTCCTATTCTTACATTCAGTTTCCCGCTTCTCTAGGCCACCAGGGTTGGATGCTGGGAAGGAGGGCCCGCCCCGTGCGTCTGTCCTGCACTTTAGGGGGCACCTCCCACCATACGGTGCTCGTCTGCCCAGTGGCAGCTGCCCACTGGCGAAGCTCTCATCCTAAGGCCCTCACGTTCCCCGCTGAAGGCATACCTAAAGCAGGCTGTGAGTCCACGCTGTGCAGTTGCAGCTCTGTGTACACATAAGGTGCTCAGTAAGTGACCCCTGGATGGGAGAAACTGCAGATTACTCTACAACCCTCTCGCTCCCGCTCCCCAGCCATACTCTGGCTATGAGACCACCTCCCTTCACCCAGTCTACCTGCCTGGCCCTGGCTATGCTGCCCCGGGTCCCCGAGTGTGGCTTTGTTCTCCCAGAGCCACCCACCCAGTCCTTGTGCAGGGAGGAGGGCTGCTGACGGGGCCCCTCCTCCAGATGGAGGGCATCGCCTCCTGGTCCCATCGTCTAGTCCAGAGCTCCAAATACACAGGGACTGAAAGGAGGGAGTCAGAGGGGGCGGCAGGCAATCAGAAAGAGAGGAGGAGGAGGAGGAGAGAGAGAGAGAGAGAGGCAATCAGAAAGAGAGGAGGAGGAGGAGGAGGAGGAGAGAGAGAGAGGCAATCAGAAAGAGAGATAGAGAGACAGAGAGACAGAGGCAATCAGAAAGGAGAGAGAGAGAGGCAATCAGAAAGAGAGAGATAGAGAGACAGAGAGAGAGACAGAGGCAATCAGAAAGGAGAGAGAGAGGCAGAGAGAGACAGAGGCAATCAGAAAGAGAGAGATAGACAGAGAGAGACAGAGGCAATCAGAAAGGAGAGAGAGAGAGGCAATCAGAAAGAGAGAGAGACAGAGGCGATCAGAAAGGAGGAGGAGAAGGAGGAGAGACAGAGACAGAGAGGGAGAGAGATAGACAGAGAGAGAGGCAATCAGAAAGGAGAGAGGGAGAGAGAGATAGACAGAGAGAGAGACAGAGGCAATCAGAAAGGAGAGAGACAGAGAGAGAGAGAGAGAGACAGAGGCAATCAGAAAGGAGAGAGGGAGAGAGAGACAGAGACAGAGACAGAGAGAGAGGAGGCATGAAGGAAGGGACAGCCGGGAGGGAGTCTGAAAGAGGAAGCATCAGGGCGAGGGCGGGCGGGCAGGGAGTTAGAAATTGGAGACAGGATCAGAGAGGGGTGGAGACAGAGGAGGACCCGAGGCTATCTGTGACAGACCTAGGCTTTTCACATGGCCTCAGCCACGTGGGGCTGCGTGAGGCGCCCAGATACCTGGATGACAGGTGACAGGGCTTCTGACTCCACCCCACAGGAGGCGCCCAGGGGAGCCCTAGGGCCCTGTGGGCAGAGGCTCCCCTGCTGCCCGCCGGCCTCGCTGTTTCTAGCCTGCTTGACCCTACAGTGGGAAATAATGGGCAGATCTCAAACCCCAGAGTGGGGCTGGGGAACGGGAGCGAGAGGGTTGTAGAGTAATCTGCAGTTTCTCCCATCCAGGGGTCACTTACTGAGCACCTTCTGTGTACACAGAGCTGCAACTGCACAGCGTGGACTCACAGCCTGCTTTAGGTATGCCTTCAGCGGGGAACGTGAGGGCCTTAGGATGAGAGCTTCGCCAGTGGGCAGCTGCCACTGGGCAGACGAGCACCGTATGGTGGGAGGTGCCCCCTAAAGTGCAGGACAGACGCACGGGGCGGGCCCTCCTTCCCAGGACTTTGTCCTCTCTGTGCCTCAGTGTCCTCATCATCTGCCTTCTGGGTCACTGAGGGGTGGAGCAGGTGTATGCCTGGCACCCACAGCACTGTGACATATATTAACTGCAAAACAAATGTCAGCAGTGTTATTATTCTATACTTAGCCTATGCTTGGCATGTGCCTGGGCTTGGCACAGGAGTGATGGTTCTGGTGCTAGGCCTGGGCCCACAGTGTGCTCAGCTGCCATTCATTCCTGGAGGGCATGCTGCAGGCTGCGAGCTGGGAGCATTTACACCATGGAAATTGACAAAGGACACCAAGCAAGCCTTTTGTGTTGTGTTTTGTTTTAGGAGAGAGGGTTTCTTCATGTAGCCCTAGTTGCCTTGGAACTAGCTCTGTAGGCCAGACCAGGCTGGCCTGGAACTCACAGAGATCCACCTCCAATCAGGGCTTTTAGGAAAGGCGGAGGACCTCAGGCAGGCAGGCATGATCAGAGTGGGCTCATGCCTGGAGACTGGCACCTAGGAGGATGTCACTCAGCCCTGGTGGCCATCGCAGACCCTGGCCCCATGATCGTCGGGTCGTGACGATGACAAATGGCTGGGTTGTTCAGAGAGGCTGTGGTCCTGAGTCTGTGCCGCAGAGCTGCCTCCAGAACATTCCTGAAGACGCCCGTGTGCGGGGCTGTGGCCCCGCTCGCCCACTCAGGCTGTGCTTTGTGCTCAGCCCACAACGCGTGGTGGCCAGCCCGGAGCACAGCGTTTCTGCAGGCCCCTGTCTCGCCGTTCTGGGGTTAGCAAGCTGTCCTGTGTGTGTGGACACCTCCTTGCTGAGAGGAGACGGTCAACAGCCTGCAGAGAGGTGGCATTTGGGGTGAACTCTGCAACTAGAGGAGAGGACGTGGGCCTGAGGGAGCCTAGGGTCGGAGACAGCAGAGGAAGGGGCTGAGAACAGACCCCGGTAACCCCAGAAGTCTGCATAGGTCCCCTGGGATCAAGAGTCTGAATCTCCACCCCGCCCATGAGGCTAAGAAGTTCCCATAGATAGTTATGGGTTTCCCTCCAGAGCTTCAGTCCTTGGAGTCCTGAGGCTTGCGTCCCCCCCTCCCCCACTCAAACTCAGGTTGCTTAGAGGCAAAGGTTACGGAAGCCAGCAGTGACCCATATGTGAGAAGGAGCCCAGCGAGATGCAAATCCAGGGTAAATCCAGGGAGGTGACTGGGGGGTTGGCAGAGAAGTGGCCTGGACTGCCGAACTTCTCTCCTTCCTACTAGGGCTGCAGAGCCACGGGACACCTCTGTTTAAGAAACGTAGACTGACAGCTGAGCCCCATGCCAGACCTTGGATCCAGGCAGGTGTGGAGTAATGAGTGGGCGCTGTGAGAGAAGCCTGCCCCCTAGTGGTGGTTGCTGCTTTGGGACTGTCAGCCGTGCAGGGAGAGGGGCTCAGAGGTGCCGCTCCCTGCCCGGTGAGCAGCAAGGCTGGGAGGCTCTGCTTGGTTCTGTGCTCAAGTGTGTGAGGATGGGTCAGTGAGCAAGTCGAGAAGAGGAATAAGAAGTTGAGAGGCCCTGGATGAATGACCGAATGAGGCAGTGGCTCCAGCCCTGAGGTCATGGCCAGTGGCTTCTGTTTTACACCAGAAAGCAGAGACCTAGACAGGGGTCACAGAGGGGAGGCCAGGAGGCTCCCTGACCCTGCCTCCTCACTTCTGCCGCAGCCCCGAGCCATGATGAAGACCTTGTCCAGCGGGAATTGCACGCTCAGCGTGCCGGCCAAGAACTCCTACCGAATGGTGGTGCTGGGCGCCTCGCGCGTGGGCAAGAGCTCCATCGTGTCCCGCTTCCTCAACGGCCGTTTTGAGGACCAGTACACGCCCACCATCGAGGACTTCCATCGGAAGGTGTACAACATCCACGGGGACATGTACCAGCTGGACATCCTGGACACCTCTGGCAACCACCCGTTCCCCGCCATGCGCAGGCTGTCCATCCTCACAGGTGAGGCGACTGAGGACACAGGACGGCGGCCCGCACTTCCGTGTAGGGAAGCCGCTTCCTGCCAGGCAAATGCCCTGTGGCTGTCCCACGCACCTAGATCAGGGCCCTCAGCGGTTGACACTCCGTAACAGCCGTGGCTCCTGCTTAGAGACTGGCATGTGTCTAGGCTTCACAGCTAGCCGGTGAGACAAATGCTTGCTGTCATTTTACAAGGGGGAAACTGAGGTAGAGTTTGGAAGCACTGCTCGTGACTCTTGTTGAGGGACCTATCCTGTGGCCTGTCTGCCCCTCTGGGAGCAGTGTCTGGAGAAGGACAGGATTGTGGGCCACCAAAGGCCTTCTGGTGATAGGGCGCTGGCTGTCGGGGGCCTTCCCTGAAGCCAGTGTTGAGTTGACCCATGTCTCTAGTGTGAGCACTGTGGGGTAGGACCATGCCTTCAGCTACTGGACGGAGGCAGGAAGGACCATCATGAACCCCCTCAAGGGTTGGGGTGACAACTCAGGAAAGGTGCTCTTTGAGAACAAGGACCAGCATTTGATCCCCAGCACCCACATCCAGATGGGTGGTGAACACCTGCTATCTCAGCACTGGGGAGGCAGAGACTGCGGGTGCCTGGCAAGCGCTTACTGGCCAGCCAGCCTACCCTGATCAGCAGCTTCTAGATCCTTGAAGGTGGGTGGTGTCACGGGAGCAACGTGCAATGCTGGCCGACACGTCACACAGACACACATACAGAATGACAGTTTATAGAACAAGACGTTCCCGCTGAGAGACACAGACTACCCCTTTCTTCCCATTCACGGGCTTCACGGGCTGTTTTAGAGCACTGTGGCAGGCTCCCTTCTGGCCATGGAGCTCCCCCTTCCAGGACACTTTTCTGTCCCAGAATGCTCGTGGGGCCCTCCACCCCAGATTCCGAGAGGGGAGGGCCTTGCCTCAGGAACCCAAGGTGGACCTGGGTTCAAATCCTGAGCCTGGGATGTAGCATAGTGGTGTCACTGACAGTGCCTTTGTGACCTTGCTCCACATGTAGGACAGCTGCCTGTAAAAGGTGAGTCTGTGGGAGAGCTCTTCCTGTTCCGGAGGGGACTGGATGCCCACTGGTGGAAATGTGCATACTTCAATGCTAATTTTCAACTGTACAAGGGATGCAAAGACAACTTTCCACCAGACTGTGCTTATTAGGCACCCGCTGCCCCATCCCAGGCCTCTGACTCACAGGTGCCAGTGCCCTGACTTTCATCCTGTACCCTCTGAAAGCACACACTCTGGTCTGGTTCCTGTGTATTGCATTCCAAGTACATCTATCTGTCGTTGCTTTGCTCACCAGCCCAGCCCAGGCCTCCTTTTCCAGCCTGCTTCTGGGTACAGGAGATGCTCAGGGTTGCTCACTCCCACGAGCTTTTCCTGCAGCTGCTGGCCAGCTGGGCTGGGCTCTGATGCCTGACATTTGCCGTCTCAGATTTGAGTACTTTGGGGCTATGAGTCCGCAGGGGTAGGGCTTAGTCGAACGGGACAGAATGAGGCTCGGCGGCAGGGCCAGAGCGGTTGGCAGTTGAGGCCCCGTTTATCATCCCAGCCTTTCCTCTCAGGAGACCAGTGCGCAGGCCCAGGGGCAGGTGGGTGGGCTCTAGTGGGGTGTTGTGCCTCTGTGCCCTACCCGCAGCTCATGCTGGGTGTGTGTCACTGTAGGGGACCAGAGAGGAGGCAACGGTCCCAGGCTGCACTGCTCAGCTGGGCCCAGTGGCTGGCCCGCTGCCTGCAAGTCAGGCCTCAGGCCCACACTCAGGGCTGTAAGAGCTGAGGGGGAAGGTAAAGATGGGAAGGGTCTTGGAGGATGCAGTTGCTACTCGGAGGTGACTCACTTGGCACGGCAGCTGGCGGCTGGCCCACACACCTGTGACCCTTCCAGGGTGTTCTCTAATCGCTGGGCAGCTTCAAGGCCCCCTTAGTGTGGGCCGCGGTCTCTTACTTACTGCATGGTTCACCGTAGAATCAGAGAGCACAGGCCAGGTGAGGACCAAATCAGGTCACAGATGTGGCCCAGTCACATTTGAGTTGTGTGACCTTGGGCAGGCTGTTTGCCTTTTGCGAGCCTTAACAGAAGAGTAATAAAATCTTCCCCATGGAGGTATTGTGAGGTGCCAAGGAAACAGCAGGTGTGCACAGTGCTCAGCTCCGGGGCGGGGCCTCTTGTGAGCATTATTGATGCCTGATGTGGCTGAAAGCGGGCCACCCTGCATGCATTAGCTCCAATCACCCTCCTGCGAGGCGGTTTCATTCACATGATGTGGGAGGGAAAGTTGAGGAGCTCGGAGATTACTCGGACTCTTCAAGGTCACACAGCCGCTAACTTGAGGTAAGAGGCAAACCTAGGCCCCCTCTCACCAACATCCTCCGCCAAACAGAAACACCAGTGCTTGCCAGATTCCTGTTGTGGGCAAGGTACTGGTGCTGGCTCTGGGTGTGGCTGAATAAGGCCAGACAGACTTCTGTGTCCACAGGAGTTCTCCAGGAGTTATTGCGCAGCCCCTTAGGGGTGACTGGGTGCTCCACAGTCCTGAAAGGAAACAGGAGGGCTGACCACATCTGAGTTCAGCTAGGCGTGCCATACTTTACCCACAAGCCCCTCTGAGCCTTGGCTCCTTTCTCTGGCAAGTGGGGACAGTGATAGCAGATACCCTGAGGAGGTCAGTGTTTGCAGGGTTCCTAAGTGGCAGCTGACAGGACCCGTGCTGAGTGGGGCACCAGGCCAGCCTGTCACTCGATCACTTGCCTCATTCCTCCCACAGGCGACGTCTTCATCCTGGTGTTCAGCCTGGACAGCCGGGAGTCCTTCGATGAGGTCAAGCGCCTGCAGAAGCAGATCCTGGAGGTCAAGTCCTGCTTGAAGAATAAGACCAAGGAGGCAGCAGAGCTGCCCATGGTGATCTGTGGGAACAAGAACGACCATAGCGAGCTCTGCCGCCAGGTCACCGCCATGGAGGCTGAGCTGCTGGTGTCTGGGGATGAAAACTGCGCCTACTTTGAGGTGTCTGCTAAGAAGAACACGAACGTGAACGAGATGTTCTATGTGCTGTTCAGCATGGCCAAGCTGCCCCATGAGATGAGTCCCGCACTGCACCATAAGATCTCCGTGCAGTACGGCGACGCCTTCCATCCCCGGCCTTTCTGCATGCGCCGCACCAAGGTCGCAGGTGCCTATGGCATGGTCTCACCCTTTGCCCGCCGCCCCAGTGTCAACAGTGACCTCAAGTACATCAAGGCCAAGGTCCTACGGGAGGGTCAGGCGCGAGAGAGGGACAAATGTAGCATCCAGTGAGAGGCAGGGACATCGGGGAGGGGGCTTGGGCAGTGCCTTAAGGGAGGTGGCTAAGGATTCCCACTGCCCACAACCCACGGGGCCCTAGGCATGTATGCTGTGTCCGTCCTGACTCCTAGCCACCTCTTGTGAGTTCTTACGTCTGGCTCCTTTGTGGTAGGACAGATACATGTTTGGGGACATGTCTGCACTCAAGCTGAGACAGCTTTCAGTGTCCTTAGAGTGGGAGGAATGCAGAAAGACCAGGAGTCCTACGTCAAAACAAGATGCTCAGTACAAGTCACAGGATGAGAACGTCCCAGCCAGATTCCCTGGTGGCCTTGGCTTCCTCTATGCTTCTGGAGAACCCCCCCCCCCTCAGGGTCTTAGCTCCTGCCTTCTGGCCCAGCAGTGTGTACCCACCCCTCCAACTTAGCCAGTGGCCACCCTGACATTGAGCTGAGAGAGAGAGAGACAGAGAGAGAGAGAGAGACAGAGAGAGAGAGAGAGAGAGCGCTGTGTGTGTCTGTATGTGATGACATCTTCATGTCTCCTGGCTCCTCTCCCAGGCCCCTCCATAGGACATTGCTTCTTGTTTTGAAGTTGTTTCCCATTCTGTCTGCAGTGGACACGAAGTCCCTGTATGGTAAGAGCCCAGTGAGCTGCCTTTGGCCAGGCTCCCCAGTTCAGATTGTTGCTTTCACTGGGTCCCTTCCTCCCTGCTCCCAGGCGGCTGTGCAGCTGGATCCCGCCCTGTGTTCACCAGCTCACAAATGAGCCCGCAGCACCATGGTCACAGAAGGCCAGGGTGCCCCTCCTGCCATTGGGGTGACTCTAATCCCCTCCACACTCCTAGCGAGATGAAGACAGCTCTGTCTGGATGCGGCTTTCTTCTGCTGTAGTTCCTCAAGCTCATGCTGAGCAACTGCCAGATACTGGGTTCTGTGCGTTAGGCAGCAGGGAGTGAGGGGTCCTGTATGTCCCCCACTCTGGCCTCTGCCCACCCATGAGCCCTTCTGCACACACAGCTGCCAGAGGCATGGGAGCATCTGAGAGCCTGAGCTGAGCCCCGGATAGGTTGGAGGGTGGGTCGTGGTGGATCTTCTAGTGCTGTCTCTGCTGGGTGCTTCTCTCCCCGGCGCAGGAGTGGGACGAGGGATGATTGTGACCCTGAGAACCAAGGGCCCTGTTCAACGCTCAGTGCACGTGTGTCTCTTCCCCCAACGGTACCGGAGCTGGCCCGTTGAGATGGCTCAGTGGGTAAGGGCACCTGCTGCCAAGCTGTCCAACCTCAGTTTGATTCCTGGGATCCACACGGTGCAGGGGGAGAACAAAGTCACCCTTTGACTACCACGGATGCACCATGGTCCCTGCGTACACACAAAGTCCTGAAGCCAACGGTTACCGAAAACCATAGGAATCTGCTAGTTCATTCCCTCAGGACCCAGAAAGTGAGTGACTGACCCCGGGTCTCATGCTGCCAGCTGGACCAGCCACACACACTGTGTTGTTCCCTCTCTTCCGGGGCTCCCAGTGGCAGGGATTTGGACCACGTCACACACCACACCCCTCCGCCAGTGATCACAGGTTACCCATGGATGCTGTATACGTTGTCACCTGTAACCACGCCCCAGTCCCAGCTCTGCACAGCCAGGCCTGGCCCTAACTGTGTCCTCACCTCCACACCTGCTGCTCGGACAACTGCCTCAGCACCCGCTTCTGTCCTGCAGTAAGCACCTGCCCCCTGCCAGCCCAACCCTGAGAGTGTGCCAGGTTCTTGTCCAGGCCTGGTCCCATCCGGTCAAGCTCCACTGCCCGGACCTCTGTGTACACTATCAATTAAAGTTGGTTTGTTAGCAGCTGTGCCCTTGGTGTTAGTTTGCTGTGTTTCCACGGGGGGGGGCTTCCCCCTGGGCCAAGGTCCCCCTGCGTATCACACAGTCTTCAAGTTCAAATTGGGAGGATGAAACCCAACTAAAGAGATTGGGCTTGGTCCGATGCGGTCAATAGCAGTGGTGTCTCCAGGGGTAAGTGACTAGTGTCTGGAAGATTGTTGATCATCAAGACTGGATGGGGGACCAGGCGTGGTGGCACATGCCTGTTGTCCTGGGTACTTGGGGGACCGTGGCAGTAGGATTGCCAGAGCAACCTGCCTGGGAATGTGAATCTGCTGTCTCTAGTGAAAACGATAGGATTGCTCCAGGTCTCTGCAGGGAGGGCCACAGATGCTGTTCAACACTTTCCAGAACACAGGACACACTCCATAGGGATGGTGGGCAGTGTCACGCAGAAGGCCAGCTCACAGGAGGATACTCTCAGGGGTGGGCTGGCAGCGGGCAGGTGTTTACTGCAGAACAGAATTGGTTAGGTATGTCACTTTCTGAATGGCAAAAACAGTGTCCTTGTGAAGCAAGAAGGGATGGGCTGTGTTTGGGGACAGCCCCTGGAGGCACAGATGCCTGGCCCTGAATGGCCCCATGAGTGATGTTTCATGTGGCTGAGTTCTTCTCTCTGGGCAGAGTGAAGGGCAGGGAGGTGGCTGCTGTTAACCCACCTCAAGCACATTCGTGGCCATTTCCATGGGACACCTGTGGCCCATACGCCCTGTAATGAGTTGAGTTGAACATAGAACTCAGGTGCCTGCCCAATAGCCATGTGAATCATGGTTCTGGACCATGGGTGCCTGACCCCTTCATGGTGAGGACAGGACTTTCAGCCGGGCATGTGGCTGTGAGCAGAGCAGATGGAGACCAGAGAACAGGACAAGGACCCTGCCCACAGGGCCTGGAAGCCAGTGAGGAGCCCCAGTCCCTGTAGGGACACTTGCAAGCAAAGTAGGCTAGGCTGCGTTGGGCATGGGGAGAGCGCCTTGCCTACCCATTCACCCAGCTCCTCTAGCCCTCGGCCCCGTTTTACATGGGTCTGAGTGTGGTACAAGCCCCTTGGGCGCTTTCTTCATCACGTCTTTTGTAGAATGAGACACGGAAGTGACCACTCTCTGGTGCTGTAGTCCTGTCTTGCTATCCAATATGGAGAGCTAGATAAGAGGTGCAACACCTCGAGTGTCCTGCCCGGTGTGTGTGTCAGAGCCTAGCGCATAGCCCCGTTGCATAGCCTCCACATCGGACTTTGGGTTAATCCCGTCGTCTCAACAAACACCATCTACAGACGGCTGGTGGGCAGGGACCAGCTGGGCCAGATGTGCACAGAACCGCCGTCCCAGCCCTGATTCTGCTAGTATTCCCATTGCGTAACCCAGAACTGCTGGCTCCTCCCCTCCCCCCATCCATGCTCCCTCCTCCCTCCCCTCTCTGCTCCTTCCTGCTCCCACAGTTCTGGCACTAGGATGAGGTTAACAGCGAGGAAGACATTTTCAACCCCGGAAAGGGTAGAATGGGCTGTTAGGAGGCTGCCCCTCCTGGAGGGACCGAGACTGGCCTGAGAACCTCATGCCAATTAAGTCTCCTGGCCCCTAAAGTGAGCCCCAAGAATCAGGTTCCAGAGAAGCCTGCACTCTGAACATCCAGTACTTGTCTGTTCCGCCTCCTTGAACCTGTCACTCAGGAGAAAATCTTCAGCCTGCACCATGGGCTGCTGGGGGCTGAAGGGAGCCTGCCAGCAGCTCAGCAGCAAAGGCTGCTGGGATTCGGGAGGGGAAGGGACCTGACCTTCACTGAAGACCTTCTATTCACTGAGCACGCCCCGGCCTCTCTCTGACCTGTGTCCTCGTCGGATCATCCCAGCTGAACAGACGAAGAGAGGAGGTGGGGTGCTTGCTTGATGTTACACAGCAAATAACCGGGAAAACTGGGTTCATGAATTCTGATTTCAAAGCATTTTGTTCTTCAGGACTTTTGTAGCGGGGGTGACTGAGAGTCTGCTCTCTGGAGAAGGGTTGGCAGGGGGGCAGCAGAGAGGTGATCCTCCTGGCCAAGCAGTGCCCAGGGGTCTTCCATTTCTAGCCTCCTCCATGTGCAAGACCTTGCCACCCACCATTGTGAGGCAGAAGCAACATCCCGGTTCCACTGCAGCACCAGGGAGAACACAGGAGTCACCTGCCTGCGTATAATGTATGAACTCAAGCATCACTGCAAGCCCCTGGTGGGGAAGGCAGTGCCTCTGGATGGCTATGCCCGTTGAAAGAATGAATACTTGTACAATGCTTAGTCCAGCGCTGCTGCTGAGACTGCAGGTGGGCAGCGATCCCACCGGGGCCCACATCCGACCCGCATTGGCTCTAGGTGGCTGCGCACTGCTACTGTTCCCGAACCTCTGTTTCTCAATCAAAGGACCGATGAGAAGGTTTGGAAAGTCAACCTGGGCGGGGGCTGCAAGAATGCCCGGCCACCTGAGGCCCCAGGCTCTCTGCTGTGGTGGGGGTGGAGGCTGTAGGTCTCAAAGCCCCCCCGGGTGGCTAACTGAGGTGCCTATTTAACATTTAACGTACAAAGCAGTCACTGGCCCCTAGGTTTTCCCAGCACACAAGCACCTGTTTTCACAGTCCCGGCTCCTCGCAGCACTTCCTCCCCCCCCCCCCCAACTCTCCAGCCCAGAGCTTTCCTTCCTTTGCATTTCAGCCATCATTTTGGCAGAGAACCCTCTTGGCTCTGCTATTGGCCTCTTCGTCTTCTCTTCGCCCTTTTGGCCCCCTCTCTCCTCTCCCCCCACCCCAGCATGGGCCAGTCTATTCGACTGGTCACGTTCAGCCTGGACTCTACTAGATGCCCCTGAAGCTCTGTTCCTCATATCTACAATAAAACCTTCTCCCCCGCTCCTTATTTATTTATTTATTTTTGGTTGTTGTTCATCTGGTGCTGAAAACCTGGCATGGCAATCTGTGGGTCCCCCAAGGGGCTCAGTCTCTCTGAGCCAAGGTGTCAGTTTGACTCTAAGGTGTGCACAGACCATTTGTTCCTGCTGGCTTCTTCCATCTATCACATTTGACTCCGAACTCTAGAGCCCCCCCTCTTCGGCCACTTCTTCCCTCTCCCTGCTCCAACCACTGCTCTACCCTGTCTACTCGGTAGGTGTCTCTCTGGCTCAGAGCACAGCTGCCTGCTGTGCTCCACTAAGACATTTCCCCTGCCCCTCTGTTGGAGCCTTCCCTTTCCCTAAGCCACACCTCACCCGACTGGGCCCCTGTCCCATGGAAAGGGGTGCCTCGCCTCTGTGGTTTGCGATATTTCTCTGTGACAGGTCTCTCAGTCGGCCTGGGATCGAGAGTCTTGCCACATGACACTTACTCCCTCTCTTAGCTCTCTCCTGGAGGCTCCTTGCCTCCCCATAGAAGCTGCCTGCTAAGGTCTGCAGCTTCTTCAAGCCCTCTTGGGCCTCTACAATACCAGAATCCCCACTCATCCCTTGGCAGCTGGCTCCTGAGTTTTTATTATTAAGACCTGTTAGATCTTGGGTTATGCTTTCATATGGCGACAACTTCTGCTGCTGCGCAAACAAATGATCCCAGAGTCTCTCTCATCTAAACGTTCTCTGCTCTACACTTCCAAAGTCTGTTATCTCTAAGGTTTTTCTACTTTCCACTCTTAAGAATCTTTTATCGGTACAATTTTTTTGCTCTCTACTCTAATAAAAAAAATCTCTCAAGACAATGCTATGAACTATTCCAGGATTTGTAAATTCATTGGGTATGATTAAAAAAAAACCTGTAAAATCTGTAACAAAAAGTAATCTTAAAAACTTGTTGCAAAAGGTTGGTAATTGAAAAAAATCTATACATAGATAATATTAGTGTGATACAATATATTATATATGTGATTTAACTCTTGTTTAGTAAAGTATATATATTTAAATAGCAACCATGTAGCTTGCCTCCATCTTGGCTGGTGGCCTCATCAGGATGGAAGCCACCATGAAAATGGCAGACATCTTTACTAAGGTTAAAAGAGAGATGCATGTGTAACCACTTAGGTCTTTACCAACTGCTCAATACCAGTCTTCTGAAAATTTTAAGTAAGGAACAATATATGTTTGATGAAAAAGGTATGTTTAATAAATAAGGTTTACAAATCCTTAAGGTCTGCTCAGGCTAATAACTGACTTGAAGATGTGTGTCTGTCTAGTCTCTGTTTTTGCTAATAATAACTGACTTGAAGATGCGTGTCTAGTCTCTGTTTTTGCTAAGCTTTGGCTACTTGGAGAAGTGGACACACACCCGACCTCTAACCCAGAAGCTATTGCCAACTGATAACCACTTGCAAATGAAAATTTAATTTTCTCCAACTGAGTCTTACTGGGAAACAAACGATTCTTATGTGTAGGCCTCATGCTGAGTCTGGGCTTTTCTTTCTTTCTGTTTTTCCTTCTTTTTAATTATCTTATTTTTAATTTAATTTTAATATTTAAATTACATCTCTCTTTCTCTCTCCTTCCTTCTCTCTCTCTCTCTCTCTCTCTCTCTCTCTTTTACTATACAGGTCCTTTGCATATAGATTATGGCTTTTGCTTTTTGTTTTTATGAAATTTCTAGTGGGTCTCTGTCTCTTTCTGTTTCTTGTGCCTTTTCTTGGGCTCTTTTCCTTCTGTATATTTATATTGTCCTATTCCAGTGTGCTTGTTTTTGTTTTATCTTATTTTATTATTGTTTCTTAGGAGCCTGTTTATTTTCTAATAGACAGAAAGGGAGTGGATCCAGATGGGAGAGGAGGTAGGGAGGAAATGGGAGGAGTAGAGGCAGGGAAAACATAATCGGGATAAAAATAATGTATTTTCAGCAGGGTGTTGGTGGTGGAGCATGTCTGTAATCCCAGTACTCAGGAGGCAGAGGCAGCAGATCTCTGTGAGTTTGAGGCCAGCCTGGTCTACAAAGATAATAGATACAAATGTCACTCCCTCAGAAAAAAAA